GTTCAAAGAGAAACATCTTACTTTGAAGTTTATGGTAAGAGAGCATCAAGGAATCAATTTCCTCTTCAGAATGCATTCACTCCAACTGTTCATAAAACTCAAGGATTGACCTTGCCACATATAACATTGAATGTTGACAAAAGTATATTTGCTGAAGGACAAATGTATGTTTAAATGAGTCAAGTTCCCTCATTGGAAAAACTGCAGATACCTTGATTTTGATTATTCTCAATTAAAAATTTTTGAAAGTACAAAAAATTGGAGATTTTGAATATTGATGGGTTGCAAAATTAACATACTGTAAAAGAAAATATGCTTTGTAAAAAATTGAATGCAATGAATTAAATTTTAAATCTTCTGAAAAAATTCCATGTTGATGCTTGTGTAATATGATGATTACACAAATTTACTGCAACCTATTAAAATCTTGTGTAATAATAATTAGATCTAATAATTGTAAATTAATAATTATAAAAAAATTAAATTCCCTTTTCACCAAGAAACATGGCTAGTTTGTCTTTGAATTGAAAGTAAAGTTTATTTAACAATCCAGGTCATAAGATGAATAGTTAGAAATTTAAAACTAATATCAATAAGTTTTGCCAATTTAGGAGATTGACCCACATTTAGAAGATCCGCCCACATTTAGAAGATTCGCCCACAGTTTAGAAGATTCACCCACGGTTTAGGAGATTCGCCCACGGTTTAGGAGATTCGCCCACGGTTTAGGAGATTCGCCCACGTTTAGGAGATTTGCCCACGTTTAGGAGATTCGCCCACGTTTAGGAGATTCGCCCACGTTTAGGAGATTCGCCCACGTTTAGGAGATTCGCCTACATTTAGGCAATTTTTGAATTTCGCCAATCCTTCTTTAGGAAAAGGGTAGTATTTGGACTCATAAGAGTCCATCCAATTTATCAAAACCTTTCATATGGTTTAAGAGCTTGTTCTGGAAAAGGAATGGGACCTGGCATTCACATGGGAAGGATAATTTATTAATAAATCTACACATTATCTCAATACAATAGATTTAATATTTATAGTTTTAAGGAACTCTTTCTTGCAACAATTGCAACAATGTACAATCAGGTAAGAAAAAAAATTTTCTATTTTCTGGGAAGAAATTTTAAATAGAATCATTATTTCCATAAACTCATACAATTTTATATTATCATTTGGAAGAAGATCAAGGGTTTATTTCCCAACTTCTCATCAGGACATTGTGTGGCTGTTTCAAAATCAGTTCCTTAAATTTCATTTCTGCATGGTCTTGGTATTATTATTACTTGGATGATGCATTTTATTTTTATTTTTTGTAAAAAGAAATATATTCAAATGATAATAACATATACAATAATGAGGTGGCATTCAAGGAAAGGATTAGATGACAATAAAAAAGATAAGTCACAATTTATTTATTTGAATTTAACTAAAATATAGAGAGCATTATATATACATACATACATACATACATACACACACACACACACACACACACACACACACACACACACACATATGTATACATACATATATATATGCGTACATACATATGTATACATACATACATACATACATACATACATACATACATACACATGTATATATATACATACATAATAATTTTGAAAAAAAATTTTTTTAAAGGTATCAGATAAAAAATTCTCAGAGCATTTAAGATACTCAGACCCAAAGCAATTGTGAGTACTGTCTATTTTTCGGGAACTCTACTCTAACAAAATCTATTACCACCTTTTTGATCAATAAAACAAATATCATCATTAGCATTGATATTTTTGTTTTCATCATCTTCGATTTCCTCTTTTTCTTATCAATTCACTGTTGGATTGCTTTTGATTGTTTTCTTCTAGGATCAATTTTTCATTGATAGAAATTTTTGATGGTGGAATCCACAACACCTATCTCTTTTACAATCATTCACAAACTTCTAGAGTTACTTTGTCAAAAGGAAGATCTGATTCAAGATCTGATATGGTCTGATTATATAAAGAACCCGAATAACATAACAAAATTTCTAAATGTTGATCATTTTACAAAAACTGTTACACGATTATTTATATGATTTTACAATAGTCGTCGTCGTTCTATTAAAAATTAGTTCGTCATATGATAAGTATATCAAAAAAAATATTATTTTTTATAGGCACATAAATTTCAAGCTTCTTTATCATACTCTATATCCTGATCAAACCTGACCAAAGGCTTTCCAATAGCATTACTATGAATGAAATTTATAATAAAGAGGTTTAGAATATATAATAATATATGTATATATTAATAACATGTATGGAATTTAAACATGAAAAAAGAATCAGCAAACTTGATGGTATATAAAAGGAACAAGGAATCTGATAATATTGCAGATAAGTTGAATTAAATATTATAAACAAATTCAATTTTTACAAAAAAAATTTAAGAATTGAACTTAAAAGTTAACTTTTTTTTGATATGTCATTTTTATCATTTTAAATATTTACTTATCAATAATACTCATTTTTGTTTAATAGATATGTAATTGATTTAGTTATTTGGACACCATGTATTGTTTACTTATATAATATATATAACATAATATGTAGATGGATATATTGCTAAATATTTATTATTATCAAACCATAGAATAGAAAATTTCTTTTGGATTAATTTTAAACATAATTAATTGCCTCAAATGTAAATGGCACATTAAAAACATAGCATGAGAATAAGAACAAAATAGTAATGGGAATAATAAAAATTATTCTTTCTTTTATGTATTAATATTGAATTCTTTAATTCTGTTTTATTGAGAATAATATTATCCCTTAAACAGTTTTGGGCTATTGATAGCTAAAATATTTTTTCTGTTATAAAAAACTTTTTCTGAAGGTATCACTTCCTAATATGAAAATGATCTTTGAAATTCGGCTAATTGACCTGTGAATAAAAATTTGGGTGTTGTCCTTTAAAAGTTGGTCAATTGACTATTTTACATTGCTGATCATTAAATTGGCCAATAAGAATACAATATCGTGATTTTGTGTTACCATTAAAGACGTTTAAGGATAAAATAAAAAAAGCTATTAGATAAATATATTAAAAAGAAGGTGTCAATGCTTCAATCAATAAACACATAATGTTTTACACTTGTAAAATCTTTTTTAAATTGTATATATATAAAAATAAAAATATTTAATAAAAGAGTACAAATAAAGATGGGAACTGCAATTAGCTATAATTCAATTTCCATATGCTGCAACTGCAACCACAATTCAATTTTTATATGCCATGATTAGTTGCAACTAATTGAGGAGCCATCTTTAGTAGGGAATTATGATACAAAAAATCTTCATCTATAATAAACTTCATGAATGTTCATTTGGAATTGCATTAAATATTTCAGTAACAGAAATTAAATGTCACTTTATATTTACATACCTGTAGAATCTTTTTAAAGTAACTATTTTTTTGAATTCTGGTGGGCAGGAAATTGCTACATTATAGACCTTGCTTCTAATAATACTCCATGGGTATTGATATTATTATTTCGATTATGTAGATATTCTTCTACTTTGTTTGGTTGGGTGTTTTCTTTATTCTAATCCCATTCTTATTTGAAACAGGGTCTTCATTTCCTCCTTGGATGTATGTGCAAAAAAATTTTTTCCCAATAGTTAATAATTCACTGTTGAGGTATGGCAGAGAGAGACATCAGTCAGAGACATGTGAAGTTGTTTGTCACTGTGACAGTGAGATAAGCA